AATGAGCACCGTGGCCATTTTTCTGTGATAGTTTGACTGTTTAAGAAACCTTAACCAGTCCGTGCACGTCTCATTCACATATGACTTTCAACATGCCAGAAGTGTGAACGACGACTGTGTCTTTGGGAGCTGCACAGTGTTGCTTTCTGACCGCAGCCACTTACAATAAAATGTGCTAACTTTGTCATTAGACTATTAATAAGAATTTCAGCACTCGCTGTTATGCATACAGCACGTGGCTTTCTTCAGCATTTCCGATACACATGTGGGTGTAAATCACTATGAGTGAAAACAACCAAAAATCATTACGAGTACAGGAAGGAAGGAATTATGCAAGATCTACAGACATGTCTGTGCTCTCCACATGTTCATGATAAAGAAACAGGACAAGGACGATTCCTTATTTCATCCTCCAGGATGCTGTCTGCACATGATATAGCCTGTTGGATACATGGCTGTGTAATTATTGAGTGTGCATGTGTGTAATGTGCATTATAGACTACCTGTTGCCACATAGAAATGTGTCCATACACACTGAGCAAAAAAAAAAAAAGAGCAAAAGTGTCTTTAGATTAATAAAGAACAAACTGAAATGACATGTTGAGCTCAAACAGCTGTTGTTTTGTCAGTTTGATGAAACTCACAGCCCAGATGAAGAACAACAGTACAGACACACGTGTTTATCGCAAGGACAGAATAAAACGTGGACGTAGCTTCGGGGTCAGAAAAAGGAAGCCTGCGTGGAAGTGCATCAAAGCTGCGTTCTATCTGATTGCTGTGGTTGCAAAAAGGCTTCTGGTCGTTTCCTGCCCAGTTTCCGGTTCCAGTTACTCATTTTGGTTCATTAAAAAAAAAAAAGTCCATTCTGAAAATATTTGAAAATGGAGGGTTTGTGTTGTGAAACCACACATTCATTGGCTAACGAGTGGTCAATTACAAGTCTTGTTATTTTTCTTTTAAGGTGAAGGTGATGAAGAGGCTCTAAAATGAGACGATGATCTGTCAGTAACTACAGCTATCTATTATGGAGCTGTAGTTACTTATTTAGTCAGCGGTCTCCAACCTTTTTTGCGCCACGGGCCGGTTTATGCCCGTCAAAATTTTCACGGACCGGCGTTTAAGGTGTCGCGGATAAATACAACAAAATAAAACTAGTACCGGTACTGAAAAAAAGAAGATTTATTCATAACACACATAAAAAGACCCAGGAAAACCGAGTTAACGATAAAAACGATAACAACATAACGCTGAAAACCGATAAAAACCCTGAAAACTATACATTTCACACCTGAGCCTCAACTCTCGCGGCCCCGGGGGTTTGGGACCGCTGCTCTAAGTGCTTCTTAGTGCTTCTTTCACACGTTCATACAGTGCATTCATTCATTTCAGGCACTCACTCTGTTACCAGTTATAAATTATAATGAAATAAAAAAACTAAACTGACTGTTAACAAACGGTTTAACGGCAGATTTGAGACTTTTCTGCGTGCGACTGCTCGCCTGTCGGATCAGTCCAGCGTTCACGTATCAGGAATTTGTCGTAGTTCATTAGCTTACAGCGGTGTGAGTGTGTTTAGTGACTGCACATAAATGTGTGTTTGCAGCAGGATCCACACGACAGCTGGAAACAACGAGCTAAACTTCAGCTCCTGTTAATGTTTATTCACCGCAGGTTATTTTCATTACTGGGACTCGACAGTAATCTGACCCATATTTGGTTTTTATTGTGGTCAAATTTACCTGACAATTTACTCTGTATGATGTGAAATTGTAGAGCAAAGTTTCTGACTTATTTTCAGACATGCAAATGTGGATATTAGTGGGTCACTTCCTGGCCCGTTGAACATGCACAGACACCAGGGTTTCCTCTCATTTGTTTTGAGCTGCAGGTGTCTCATACCAAAGGTCAGACCTGCATGTGGGTGCAAACTGCATGGTTTTGCTTTTTGTAGAGCAGGCTGATGGGGGTGAGTAGAGGCACAATATCTATCCATTTCTTCCCCCTAAGACCCGTCAGGAAATGAATCTGACGATGAGCAAACTCTGTCTGGGCTAAGCTGCTGAGCCAGTCTGAGGAGGTTGGAGCCAGTTGCTACCTGCAGACGAGGAGAGCATCGACACGCTCGAGTGCGCTCATTACCGAGGCGTCTGGCCGTTAAACTGTCAGCGTAGCATCTCCACATGGAGCAAGCACACCTGGGCTCCCAGATCTCATTTTCTCCTTCGGCTTCTTGTGTCTCAGTGTCAGTTAGGATCTGGATTCACCCACTGCCTCCAAGCGTGAGAACGGATAAGATGCTGTATCAGCAGAAAATGGAAAAATGCAGACGTAAAGCACCGCGGTGTAGATCGATCCAGCCCAGGTCAGGGAGTGCTAACTGCGGGATCTTTCGTGTCAGTGGGCGTTTTTGGCTTTTCAGTGGAAGTATCAGGTCATCTGTGTTTGAACAGTTGATCATCCTGGAGTGCAGATATATGCAGGTGAATGTTGTTGAGATTTGACAGCTGCACGTCGGCTGAATGGACAGAAAAATGCACATAATCAGGTTTGCAGAGCGAGCGCTCCGGTGTTGCCGAAGGGGGGAAAATAAAGGCCGAGGAGGATGATGATCTCTCATCCTGAGCTATGTTAAGAAGTTAAGTATGCTTTCATCTTGGGGTACGCTCCACTGCCAGTGAACCCATCCTCATGAGTCTGCTGTGAGCTTCACTCAGACTCCACTGTTACACAAGTTTGCACAAATACAGGGAGTTGCAGCAGATATGTGATTTACTGTAATTCAACCAAAAATGTCATTTTGAGCTTTTTGCTTCTAGAAGTGTCGAAAGACTTCTTCTCTTGGTTTGATGTCACAGATCTTTGATATTTGTTTGTATTGTGAACAGAGAAGTTTTACGTTTTAAGACAATCTCACAGTTTTGCAGTCATTGCAGGGAAAATGTAGTCATTTGTATGACTCTCAGACTTTATTATGAACAACTCAAATACATATACAATGTTGCCAGATTGTGTAGTTTCAACCCACATCTTGGCAACCCACAAACCAGTTCAAGGAGCTAACCTCTGCACCGGCAGACAGATCAGGTAGACGATGAATAAATTGTTGCTTCCACACTTCAGCTCTGTGTCGCATGTGCAACAAAGATTTCATTAATCAAAAATCTCTAAGTGAAACGTGATGCAAACAAACAGTCCATTAAGTGAATTAAAACCAAATTTCTCATGAAGTTGGTCATCCTCCAGGTGGGACCACTGAGGATAAATTCATTGAAATCACTTCATCTCAGAATCTTCAGGAATGCTGAGAAGGCTGAGAGGTGGCAGGCTGGTGGATTGTTGCTGAGCCAGCAGTAATGAGCTTGTACTGGACTGCTGTGGTGATGAGAGCCTGTAACCTGTGAGCTCCGGGTAGTCACCAAAAGAATAGGGTTGCAGGCACGAGCAGGACGAGCTCCGGGGTGATGGAGTAAGGGCACTCAGACATGCTGAGGGAGCTCGGAGCAGAGCCGCTGCTCCTTCATGTCTAAAAGAGCCAATTGAGGTGGTTTGGGGCACGCCCAGCTGGGAGGAGACGCCAGCAGGAACTGCAAAGTGCTGCTGGGGACAAGGACGTCTAGAACGCCCTGCTGAGCCTGCTGCCACAGCAGCCTAACTTTGGATAATTGGAAGATAATGGATAGGTTTTGCTTGTCAACAATTAGTTTGGGGGGAAAAAAAGCTTTTGCTGTTCTGAGACAGAAATAGACTCCCCGGTGTCCGTCTCCCTCGGCCTCCTTTCTCCTCGTTGGTGCAGAGCTGCAAATGCACAGCTGCCCTGTTGTATCTGAGCAGCTCCACAGTTAACTTGTACCATTAATGCTGGCGGTCAGTGTGGCTTGAATCATCAAGCTGTATCAAATACTCCCCAGTTGTAGTCAGTGGTTCTGACGACGTCTCCTGGTGTGTTTTATTTCAAACTGACTCTCACAGCTTCTCGTGTTGTTTTGTGTTTGTTTTCAGGTAAGAGGAAGCGGGTGCTCAAGCTCCCCAGGGAGGCGTTTGAGCAGGCTACCAGTACCAGCTCAGTGTAAGTGTCATTTCTGCAGAATGTTACTGAAACATGCACGCATGCTTTATCCCGGTTTGCACGTCTGACCCTTTCTTAAATCAAGTCAGAAGGCCGAATATGTGAAATGAAAATCTGTGCAGCAGCAGGAAACAGGAGGAGGAAGTTACGCTCCCACTAATACCATCTTTCTCTGTAAGCACCCTTTTACAGTCAGCCACGCCCTCAAGCAGCGCGTGAACACGAAAGAGTACATTTGTTTGGTCTTAATTACCCTGATAACTGCACGTTCTCGCCACAATAAAAGCCTCTGTTTGTAGCTCTTTCTCCACATTTCTGATAACATGAAGCTCAGTCTGCAGCTGCCTTTTGATAAGAACAGGTTTTCTGCAACAAACAAAAAAAACTTAGTGTTGAGTGTATTTTTAAAGTGAGTCCTCTTCATTAAGAAACCTGCAGCTGCAGAGGCGTTTCTGGTTCAGAGCCAACTTGTAGTTGAAATGTCAGAAACACTGTGGCTGCGTTATTGTGTTTAACTGTGCTTCTCATTTTTAATTTACAAAAGTATCTGTTTAACAGTGTAGTATTTTTCTGCTTATTTTAATTTCTTATTTTGTGTATTGCACCTTATTTACTATCTCTAATTAATCTAATATTTTTATATAGTTTTGTTATTAGTTGTTTACTATGTTTTTTTCACTGTAGTATAAACAGGTTAAGCGAATAGTATAAAGCAGGGATGTCGAACTCCTGCAGGTTTTAGAAAACACCCTGTGTCAACACACCTGGATCAAAGATTAGTTCATTGCCAGGCTTTTTGGGACTTCACGACATGTTGAGGAGATTTAGCCATTTAAATCAGCTGTGTTGGATCAAGGACACATCTAAGGCTACGTTCACACTGCAGGCGAAAGCGCATCAAATCCGATTTTTTTGACCCTATGCGACCCATATCCGATCATGGTATGACAGTGTGAACGGCACAAATCCGATATTTTCAAATCCGATCTGGGTCACTTTCGTATGTGGTACTGAATCCGATACATATCCGATGTTTCAGAAAGCTGCTGTTTGATGGTCATGTCGCATTAAATCCGTCTTTTACGTCACCGACACAAGACAGAGCCAATTATCAGCGCCCGAGAAGACATCGCGAACGCTTCCTGGCCATCCAGCGTAGATGTCAGTGAAACTGTTGGGAAAACAACGTGAACATTTTATTTGTTCTGTATAATCTGCAGATTCTGACAGAAATCTGCAACTATCCTTTGAAGCAGCGCTCCTCTAAAACAGCAATAAGGATCATTATTAGGTTATTTACATTATTATGTAAATAACAAAATAACTTAAAGCAAAAATTGGGAAACGTAAAGTCCGAAGTCTTTATATTAAGGTCCATCAGTCAAACAATACTGTTGCTCTGGGTCTAAACAGAGCGCGTTGTGTGTGACGCATGCGGCCGCTTTGAGCGTTCACACTAGAGCGCGTTTGCTGTCGCATTTTATTTGTAGTGTGAACGAGCAGACAAAAAAATCGGATTTGATCAAAAAATCGGGATTGAGCATCAAGACCTGCAGAGTGAACGTAGCCTAAACCCTGCAGGACACCGGCCCTCGAGGCCTGGAGTTTGACACCTGTGGTATAAAGGATGGACGCAGTTTCCAGTCCTGAAAAGTGGAGCTCTCTTCCACAGCATGTCTTTATCCTGTCTTCCTTCTCTGAGCCTGGTTCTGCTGGAGGTTTCTTCCTGTTAAAAGGGAGTTTTTCCTTCCCACTGTCACCAAAGTGCTGCTCATAGGGGGTCATATGATTGTTGGGTTTTTCCCTGTATGTATTATTGTAGGTTCTATCTTATAATATAAAGCACCTTTAGGCGGCTGTTGTTGTGATTTGGTGCTGTATAGATAAAACTGAATTGAAGCCAGGTTGTTACATCCTGTCTCAAAACCAAGATCGTAAAAATACTCAGTTTTAGGTTTAATACCAAAAGCTCAGTTATTTATTTCAAGATTCTGACTTTTTCAAATTTTAATCGCTGCTCCCAAAGCAAAGGACATTTACCTTACAATACGAAGCACTCTGAGGCGACTGCTGTTGTGATTTGGTGCTAAGTAAATAACATAAAATTGAAGTGAATTGAAAGCCAGAAGCACCTTTTCATAGATGTTTTTGCAGAAGAATAAATTCTGCTGTTTTGTGCCTGAAATGTGCGCCGTGTCCTCTAAAGAACACTTTAACCTGCTCATATGTAACCAAATGTTTTTGTGTTTCAGACCCCCCAGAGATCTGGATTCGAAAGCTTGTGTAACAATCGGAGAGAAGGTAATTTTATTCCTTTGGCTCATTTACTGTCTTCTTTTCCACCTTTCCTAATCCCATTCAGGGTTTGATGCTTGTTTTTCTCTCTTACATAACTTCTTACTTTTTTCCTCCTCCCAGTGTAATTTTGGTCGATCCACATAGGTTGGCTTAATCGCGGCTCTGTTGGCTGTAAAGAATGCCCCGATGAACATTACAGCTGAATTGAACACTTCTGATTGCGGTTAGACTGGAATGCTTTTTATTGCCCATCAGGCAGTAAAAATATTTATTTTAAACTCCTCAAATAAGTGGAATTTTCCATTGGCAGGGCTGGCTGCTCGCTCTCTGTTCGAGTTGGCCACGAGTCAAAGAGATTTCTTTTTTCTTGTGTTTGAACAATTGGAAACAAAAAAAATCCCGCTGCATCGTGGAGGAGACTTTTGCATGGCTTAAAAGAGACATGAGAGATTCCTCGCCCTGTGGGTTTGGCGTCCACTGGAACTTGTCCTCCATTTGTGCAGAATTTCGAGGTGAAGGCAGATGACCTGGAGCAGATCTCCGAGCTCGGCCGAGGAGCGTACGGCGTGGTGGACAAGATGAGACACGTGCCGAGTGGCCTGATCATGGCTGTTAAGGTAAAAGGAAAGACGATTTCCAGACTTCAGGAATGTTTATTTAACCACGAGCCCATTAAAGCAAAGTGACAAACACACAAAAACACAAATGTGCTTAAAACGTGTTTCCGAATGTTTCAGTTCTACTCTGTGCGCAAACCACGCACATGCACGACTAGAATATTTAACCTCTAACCTTTAAACTCTACAATTGTCACAGAGTGAACTGAATAACATGAAAGAATTTGCTAAGAAAGTGGAGATACAAAAAATTTGGATTGTGGTCCTGGTCTCGCTCCTCTCCTGATGAGCTGATTTTGGACTTGGAAATGGAAACTGCTCGTTTTATAAATGGAGATCCAGTTATTCCATGCGAAAACTGCAGAGCGCACAGGGAAGGAGGTCAGGATGGGACTCTCATCATCATCTCATCATGATGTTAATGATGATGATCGATCCGTAGGCCTGCAAAAGCCCTGTACATCAAACCAAAATACAAACATACTGATATATATACACACATACATGCGCAAACACAATCGACACAATCTACATGACATAAAATAACAACTCAGTCCTGGAGTAGGAAGATGTATGCACTCATTAATCCACTGTTGAGTTACCATGTGCGTCACGCACAAAAACAGAGACAAGGCAAAGAAAAGTCTGTGTATAAATATCAAATCAAATCAAATCAAAATTTATTTATAGAGCACATATTAAAACAACAGTGTTGACCATAGTGCTTCACAGTCAGTAAAAGCATGAGACAGTTAAAACAAACAATAAAAGAGGACAACAAACAACACAACAAGCTGGACCAGCCAACTAGACAGAATCAAAAGCCAAACTAAAAAAAA